AATTTCTCGGAAACTATAGTGAATATTTGTTTCAAATTTATTTGCGAACGTAATTGATAGCATTATCTTTGAAATATATGCCCATGTAGTGCAAATTTGTGGCGTAAAAAATTAAAATTAATTATTCTCCTTTTATGGTTATAGAGCGTTTAGTTCCACCGGTGTGCCACAACGCGGCGCTAGTGTTTCTTTCTTTCCCCGTAAAACAGAGAAATCTTCATTTGCGAAAAAATCTAATTTAGCGAAATGAATTGTGAACTTTTGTGATTGTATTACCCTAATTAGACCCTTAGCTTTCTTTTCACACCTCATTTGACCCGTAAAAGGCAGAAATAAGTATTTTTATAAATAATTAGTACCACTGAGTTACCGCTAGATGGCGCCACCATGTCCATTTTGTGACAGTTCGCACTAATTACGACAAAAACTTAATTAAGAGGAATAATTTACGAACTGTTTTATGTGCCTCCTTAAAATTAGGCTCCCAGCTTTCTTTCTATGTTTTGTCCTCGAAAAACGTGTGTGTAAAAAGTTGAATTTTTTTTCAATAGATCAAAGGATGTCCTTGTCGCACACTGTTGCTTTCTTTATCTAGCGTCATTAGACAAGGAGGACACTAGCTTGAGACAAGGACAGACATATATGCGCGGTAGACAAGAATAGCAACAGAGTGCGATATATTCGTGCGGTTGTTTTGCTAGGGGATTACGAGAAATGATTGTAATTATAATAGATGAGAAACTAATTTTTTTTTATAGAAAGAATCATTTATGGTGATTCACTTGATTGCTATTTTATGTCTAAACGAGTTTTAATATGTTTCATTGCGTTTGTAGTATTAGATAAGACTGAAATGTTACTTACACTTTATTAAGATTTACATGGTGGACTTGTGCGTACCATGTGTTTAATATTAAATATTCAAAAATGCTTATAATTAAATTTTACATTTCTAAATACAATACAGCAGCATTTATAATATATCTTCTCATTAATTTCATTTAAATCACTGCTTAAAGAAATTTATGTCTATTCTATCTACGATCTGCTGCAATCTAATCACACTTAGTTTGTTGAATACAAAAAAATTTATTTTATTCATAGCAAAATTGTTCTATCAATTTTATAAATTTTAATATCCTTTATAAGCAATAATTACAATAGACCAAAACTAACTCTAAACTTCTATTGAATTCAATGCACAAAAGTACATTTTACTAAAAAGATATTTCTCTTTTAAAAATATTCTCAAAATATAAGGGAATGTAAATAAAAATATACTACAAATTGATAACTATAATATATTATTATTACATAGTTGTTATTAGCCTAAATCGTTAATAATTTATTTTGTTAAGTATACTATAAATATATATACTATATATATATATACTATAATTTATTTTGTTAAGTATACGTAAGTATACTATATTTTAGGAATATTTCCAATTGATAAATGCATAGATTAATGTACTAAAAGCATATGTGCAATGAATTAAAAAATATTATGTTGGATGTGTTTATGTTAATTTATGAAATAAGGTTACATAAAAGTTTGTGATACGCCAGTAAAAATAAGTAGAAATTTCTCAGATTTTATAAAAACCTAATTGTGTTTACCTTCACATAGGATATTACATAATACAGTTAAAGATAAAAGGAAGAATTGAAAATTTACTAAATGATTAATAAAGGAAATGGAAATGATAAAAATAAAACATAAAATATGCAGATTTATAAAAATTACTTCATTGATTAGTAATATTACTGATATATATTAAAGATGAGAAAAATAATGAATGATAAAAAGGAGCATAAATTGTATACTTTTATTAACAAAAGTTTTACTTTTCAAATCAGTAAATAATTTTATTTTAAAATTTTAAACGTAATTTTCAATTAAATTATCTTTATTATTAGATCAAACATATTTAATAAAAAAATTTTGTTAAATCCTTCTGATAGATAGATTAGTACGAAAACATTTTTTATTATTTTAGAAATAGCATTATTTTGTAATAGTCAGTCTGTAGCTTTAAAAATATTCTGTTTACTGGAATATGTTTTTATACATATGATTTCCTGTTTTTTATTATGAAGGTATAGAGATATATTAAATTCAATAGTGTTTGTATAAAAAGTTGTTTTATGCTCTTAATTTCTTTTTATTATATCATTTTACAAATTAAAGTATGAATAAAAAAAAATGTACAATGTATACATGAAATATTTAGCATCCCCTGATATTAAATAATTTTGAAGATAAATTCCTTGTTTTTAATGAAAGAGTATATTTGCCACCAAAACATTAATTAATTAATTATGAAGCAGAATATAAGAAACTAATATGTTTACCGATCTTTTATACATTTATATTGTCTTAATCTTTTCTGTTTCTTAATTTACTCAAAAAAATGATTTTTTTCACTATTATAAATTTTTGTCCAATGAATCAGGAGACTCTAAATACATAAATTAAAAAAAATTTAATAGCACCAAATATAATCTTACAAATCAGCTATGGAATAAGTTATGCATAAAAAAAAAATTTACAAAATCTTCCTGATTCTAAGAGTAATGGTTTACTGTTGAAATCAGGCTTGATTAAAAGCTATCATATACATAGCATCTAATATTTGTACATTGAATAAAAAATAACATAGTGAGATTAAATTTCGTAAATTTTGAAATGAAGATTAATGTTTGCTATATTTAAAAACGAAGCTCTTATGTCTGTAGAACATAAGTTTTTACAATGACAGATCCTTTATCTTGCGTTTCTACTCTAAATACAATAATTGTAAAAGAATATAATGTACACTTTAGAAATATTACACTACAATATTACTCCGTAATGCAATTACATATACTGTGATAGATACACTTTACGTAATGTATTGTTTCGTGTGGCTACTACTAATTTACCACAATATTACAAATACAATACATATAACATGTAACAGAATTCTTTCGAAATCCTAATATTAAAAAATAGAATTCGATAGTATAAATTCACTGAGAAGAATTGCAGATGAAATGTTGCGTTAACGTTGATCCTCAGGGAATCCAAAAATTCAAAAGACTTCATACAAATAGAATAATTTATGTGAAACACAAACGTATGTTTTGTATGTTTCATAATTCAATTTTAACAGATGACAAAATATTCTTTAGGATATAGCTTAAACTTGCAATGCATTTATAATAATAGTCCATTACCATTCAATTTAAAGATGTTATTTCTTTATGAACCTTTTCTTCAAGCTAATAAACGTTTATCTTAAAAGTAGTGTAAGTCCATTTTTTGAGAAAATTGCAAAAATGCTCTGCATTGATCACGTTAAAATTTTAAAATCATAGCCATGATCGAGCTGAGTTAATTGTTACAGTGTTAATTGTTATACATTTACATATATAATTTTAAAAAAATGAAATATCTGATCAAATCGAGAGCAGAGCGCAAGTGAATCAAGAGCAGATCGATGGTTCGAGTCAAACCTATTGTCACAGACGCACACTAAAGACCACCAAAAACTACCATGATCATCAAGTATAATAATTCATTAACTAAATTATTCATTAAGCAAATCATTGTATTAATTTTAAACTTATGTTATTTTATTTTTTTCTTACCTTACATTGATATAATTTTTACTAATGCTTGGAAATTTACATAATCTTCTATTATTTCATTTTTAAACTACAAACTCTATATAATTTTATATTTTTATGAACACAATTAAATAATTGAAACTAAAAATTCACATGACATTAGAAAAGAACATTTACTTCTATTCACCAATTCAATATAAATTAGACATGAACTACATTAAATTGAAATTAAAACCTAAGGGTTAAGCATGGTTGCAATCCTGATCAGAATATACGCGTATTAAAATCGAGTTCTTGAGTTTTATCTCTGCTACTTTGAAGCCCTGTATTTGTATGAATGTCTAAACAACTTTTCTTGTGAAGAATCTTCACCGTTTCTGATATCCCTAACTGCACTGAGAAGCCACAACGTAACAATACATATCGCATAATCACATATATGTACAATGCTTTAACATACACCATACGTAGTGTACACGTAGTGTAATCATAATAATTTCACAAGATATAGAGTATATAGTTTGCATGTATTTACTGCATTTTAAGTGTACTTTGAATATCAATTTCGAAGATATCAAACTGAAGAGAACAGAAGCTGCAAAATTTATAGATTTTTTCAACGATCAAAGCCATTATAGACAACTATTGTCGATTATCATGAATATCGATAAATATGTATTGTAATTTTTACACTTAAGAGAAGTCCGATTAATGTTCACATGACGAGAGTATACGCAACAAGATAAACGGACACTTTTTACAATATCACAAACATTGCTTGTAAGTAAATGAAAATTAAAACTGTACATCCACATGATGAATGTACACCTCTAAACTGCGTCATAGAGAACTTAATTAATAATTTACAAATGAATGTGTACAATTCAGTGATCGTATCGAAAGACCACAGTGGTAGTTTCTATACGCGATATAAGAAAACCAAATGAAACATAATGATACTGAAACTTTAAATGATAGGAACTTATGAATTGCCCTTAACTCTCAACGTATAATTTGTACATTATTTTTGCAATTTACGTATAGCAAATCTTAAGAATGTTTTCATTTTCATTATATTCGTGAAATTGGAACGAAAAATCTTACGAAAAATAATTGAAATATCCTTTTCAATATCGAAATGAAAATTAAATAGCTAAATTAAATGCCGTTATCGCAAGACTGCGAATTTTTATGCACTCAAGAAAAATTTAAAGTAATACGCAAATATTTTCTTGATATTCAAGATATAATACTTATTGTAATATTTAGCATGTGAAATACAACTCCTAAATTCAATTTTTTTTAAATTCTATCTAGAACAGACTTGGGCATTATTTAAAATATTAAAAAAATAATTGTTAAAAAAATATAAGTCAGCTCATTTGATTCGATATTATTTTGAAATAATGTTGCATTAGTTTACTTGAAAAGGCAAATGATGTTTCGGAACTATTTCATTTGGTTGTCAAATAAAATAATTTTTCAAATAGTACATATTTCTAATTCTACAATATTGTGCAAACTTTATTTTATGCTGGGATTATTTGCTTCTTTTAGATTGTGAACATTTCTGCATTTTTAGGAAATTAAAAAAAATGGTTCCAGATACCGTATGTGTCATATATTCGAAGACGAGCACCTATCGTGATATTTAGTAGATGAAACAAATTTCTATTTCTTTAACTGTGTTCACAAAAATATAAAATTGCATGAACACACGCAGGTCCGGTTATTTTATTTCAATAAATTAACTGGAATAAAAGATTATTTAAAATGATTTAATTTCAGAACTTCATTTATCTGGACTTGTCAAGAAGAAGCAAATAATAATTAATAAGATTTCACCAATTTTTCTCGTTACATATCATTTTTCGTCTAGTAAGAAAATCAACAACGTTCAATTAATTGAGCAACAACTAAAATCTCATTCTAACGAATGGAGTCCGAATACATACAGGATTCTATTGAACTTGTGTTTGACTTGGACACAAGGTACAATTATTTTTCTCAATATTATCTCTAAAAGAAAAACAATAAATTAGTAGAAACGATGCTTCTGAAATACTTCAGTAAAATATTTGTTACTCTTTATTTTAAAGCCCAAACCTGTTTTAGAAAAATATGGATTTGCATGAAAATTCGCAGTCTAGTTATCACGTAACAGCAACTTGCATGCTACACACTCGCAATAACAATTTCAATTCTTTTTTAATGTAAAAAATAAAACTAATAAGCTAATCTGAGCAGACTATTCGCAACGATGCGAATGTGAACTAAAATTCAATGAGACTTCTTTCTGTCTTCTTTTTTTTCTGAAATAAAATAGTTACGTATTGTGCGGTCGACCTATTGAAGTAACGGTCCTCGCTGACCGTGGTATCGAAGTCGTCGCAAATTTTCTGGCCGTTGGAATACACGATTTCACGAAATTCTCTTCCCTCTTTACCTCATGCTGCTCCTTGTCATTCGATTCGGTGGACTTGGTGTCCTTCGATTTCACGGTACTCTTGTTCGAAGGGCTTTCTGACGGCAATTTATCCGTATTGCCGGTTTGACGATGCAAAGTATCCTCAAGACGAGATTTTATTGTACGCGGTATGCGATCGGTCGACTTACGTGGGCTTCTGTTATCATTAAGCTCTCCGAGCAATGAAGGACGGTGTCGATCCCAAGAGTCACTCCATCTGCACATAGAAAGGATTAATTTTAGCAAAATATCTTTGTTAAAATGTTTCAATTTCTGCTTCGTGTTAATTTGTTGCAAAAAATTCTTATGAACAGCTTTAGAAGCCAGTCAAATATAATACTTGAAAGAATTATCACGAGAAGTTTTTATATGAAATTATAAGTTTGAAATTATAGTATGTATTTCGATTAATTCAATAAAAATACAACTAATTAAAAAAAACTACACAAAATGCAATTTATTAATATAAATACTACTGTTACTCGTAATACTATACATCACTATAACATTAATCTAACTTTTGATTTTATAATAAAAATGTACAAGAACTTGTGCAGCAAACCAATCTCATAATAAAATTTCTAAAAAAGTTCAATATTTTTTAAAAGTTTAAAAGCAAGCTTTTGAAAGCGATTTACTTTTTTAATAATTTTTATTCAACAAGTTAACACGACAATGTTATAAAAAAACGAAACTTACCCCACACAACTATCAAATGCAGCATGAAACATTATTAATTGTGAATCTATTATAATCTCAAAAGAACGTTTTCAAGATAAATGAACAGTCGTGATCGTAATTTTCAACTGATCGTATATTTATCTATTTGCACTACATGCTAGGAAAATTAGTATGCCATGAAAGTTAGAATAACGTTACAGAGACACTTTGAAAGCAAATTACACGTTTTATACGATGTACCATTAACGTTGCATTCCGGACTGTTGAAACATGAAAATTGATTAGTTAACGTATGCACTTCGAAACTTTGAATTCGTAAAGGGCTTGCAATCGAATCAGATTTTTAGTATACGTTCATTCTGATTATTAATGCGAATAAAAATCTTCAAATCAACGTCTATTTAATATTTAAAGATTATAAAATATCTCAGAGATTATTATTTTCTTTCTCTATCAAGATGAAATGCGTAAATGTTACATATTTTTTTCTTTTATACATATATATTGTAAAAAAATATATTTCCTCCTGATATTTGTTACTAAAAATTTGTAAGTAAATATAACATGTATTTCTGATGTTACATATGTACAAAAGCTACATTTTATTCAAGTTAATTTCTATTTATTATTATGTTAGTTTTATTTTAACTCAATCTTTTCTGATTCTGAAAAGATTCGAATCTTTCTCTAATTATTTTATGAAATTATTATTCACTATTACCAAGTATTATGTACTGTTGATACTAAAAACAAGAAGAAGATTCGGTCACAAACCCTAATACAAGAAAATATATTTAATATATCGGGCACGGGTTTATGTTAGTTTACAGTCGTAGGTATTTGAAACGAATCGAAATAGAGCAGCATGAAACGAAAGTAAAAGCAGAAGATTCTATCTATCATTTTCGCATGCAAAAGTAATAGAGAAGTGTTAGAACCGAATGATCAAACAAGTGACCCTAATGTAGAAAAGATGCACGAATATAAGGGCGTTTAATGCAGAAAGGAGCAAGTATCCCAATATTAAGTCACAGAAACTGACCGACTCTACCTTCCCGATCCTGAAGCTGTCTCACATGGAATCATCGGAGAAGGGTAATGACCAGAGCAGCAAGAACAACACGTTATTTATGACAAATTTCGTGACGTCACATATGAAAAAATATACTTATGATATTTGCAAACGCTGTAAATTTAGGCACGTATGTATACCTAATTTCTCTCTGTGTAACGTTTATAATTGTGGATGTATTCTTTGTGGTACAAGTAGGATTAGAATGTTTTCTTTGTACAAAAATAAGCGAAATATTAATATGTATACAAATTTATGTATTTGTATACATATTGACGAAGCTTGTTGCTGAAATTTATGTATTTAAATGATTAAAAAATGACTAACATTAGTGTCTTTAATGTATTAATATTGTAAGATCATAGTTGATCATAGTTCATTTCTATCTTTTCTCATTCCTTTTCTTCCTGTCTAAATTAATAATCACGATAGTGAAGTCTTGAACAAAAATATTTTATTTCGCATTTTAAACACCATACTCCTAGTTGTACCATAATTGTTGTGTTTCATGTCAATGTGATTTCTCTCACTTGCTATGTTATTCTATATATTATATTTTTATATTTTAAATGAAAAAGATGTATAACGTATGAATTATGTCATTCAAAATATTTAGTAATTTCACAGTATTGTAAAATATTGCAAAATTACACAACTTGTAATTAATTATTATCAAAAGAAACTCGGTTTTATTACTTATCATGTTTATTAAATTTCTTAACTTAACATGGCATTTGAAATATATCTCTTACATAAATATTTATGTGGTAGTAAGAGATAACTTACTATCCTATATTTTTATAAATTTACTTTTAATACTATCTCGATCTTAATTTAATATTGTATTATCTAATTAGTGTATTCCAAATGAAGAAACATCGGAAAAATCCTTAGGATATATTACAAAGTTGTTTTGTACCAGCAACAAAAATTACTATAATTATCATTATATTACTATATTACAACTATTGCTACATCACATTACTACAAATACTGCAATTACTATAAACCATTTTTGTAATTGTACTTCGTATTTTATTTTATTTTATTTAATCTTCTCTTATTCATCGTAAGAAACACACTTTGAAGATATTCCCTAAGGTTTTCCCGATGTATTAATTTTCTTCAAAGATAAAATAGATTTTCCAACTAAAAGAGGAAGAAAAAAAAATCTCACCTAACTAGAGATCCCATAACATCTTCCTGTGGGAGTGTTTGCAGAAGTGATGGTCCTGCTGACACTGGACGTGTCTGTATCCACAGTCAAACAAATAATAAATAAATAAATAATATAACAATAAACAATATAACAAATAGTAAGGTAAATAGTATTTTTTTTTAAATTAGTATTGATAATTGAAAAAACTATAAATATATTGTATATGATAATATTTGTAATGTTAATGTTATTTTGAAAAATGTAATAATAAAAAAAGAACAATAATAATAATATAAATATGTAATATTATCTATAATGTGGTATGATGTGGTTTAAAATATTTGGATTTATTCAATTAACAATTTCACGACGTATATATGAATTTGAAACAGATGCTCGTAGCAAATTGAAAATGGAAACTTGTATGTACGTGTGAAGACATTAATCCTTTCGTTCCCACGATAGCAACATGGCTATGTATTTAGAATTAAGAAGTGAAATTACCTTCATCAGAAATCAATCATAGAATTCCAGACAAATAACTCAATTGTATTTCACTTGAAAATTACAAAAAAGGAAACAGTGATAAATCATATTTTTCATATTTCGTAAGGGAGAAATTTTAAGATTTACTACGCTTTAATACGTGTGCACATATTTTTGTGTTATTTACATAATTTTTTAGTTACTCGATTTTAATTACTCGGATACTAGTTATGACCTTATGGTTATATTTGTCGATTATTTTTAAATTATTTATCATCCATAATTTATTTTCATTTTTATAGATATATTTTTATTTTATCAGATATAAATTTTATATGGATCTAGCTCTAACAAACTCTAACATAAAAATTCATTTGTAGACTTATTGTGAACCGTTATTTATCGTAAAATAGGAAAAAATTAGTTTGGGAAAGATTATTATATTATATACAGTATTATGTAAAATGATGTAAGATGAGAGATACCATAAGATGTGATAAAACATCTCAATCGATTTTGATATAATATGTGAGACATCTTAGATATGAAATGTATATTTTATAATTTTGCTAAAAAACTTTTTTCGAAAGTTTGGAAAATAGAGTAAATGATTCTTGGAACAGACTGACAACCTTTTGCATAATTAAATGCAAAATTTCAATATTGAATTGTGTATTATAAGAATTACTAGAATTACATTTGTATGCAAAATTGTATACTAACTCTATAACGAACACTATAATAAACCTTTGGAATCTCCTAGTATTAATACAAAATAAAATTGTCATTATCCAAGTATAAATTTTAACTTTTAGCAAATAAATAACACGATTTTCTATGAATACTGCTGTGAATAATGTTAAATGAAGTGTATGCAACTTAAAAGAAATTATACCGGACTTTTACTAAAAAAACAATTTATAACTAACGTGAACTATAAATTACGTATATGTAATATTACAAATACTATAAAACGTTCAGCTAATGTGCACAATAAAAATTGTTTTGCATCAGGAAACTGCCATTTGTGCCATTTTTGACGAGAAAACGTTGCTATGTGTGCTTTTGACACATGAAGCAAAAACTAATATTGATTCTTCGATTATACTTGAAATATTTCGTGTATAACTTTTTGATGACGGGCAAATGGGAATTATTAGTTTGCAGAAAAGCATTTATAATATTTACATTTAAAGCGTGATGTAGAATTTGGTAGATTTTGATTTGTGAAAATTGAATGAGATGTGTCTCATCCGATTGTACTTAAAATATACATTACTCTTTTTTTTTAAAGATAATTTATATTATTTGAATGGAATTTGGCTTATACTCGTTTGCCCTCCGGATCAGAGAAGATCGAGGAATGTAAAAATTGGTGAGTTGCAATTACACGATAACATTGTAACACTAGATTTACTATAAATAATATCTTATCGAAGATAGTGAACTATAAACGTACCTTTTCTGTTTGCGTAGCAGCATTGCAGGTATTTGAGGAAAAAAGGTTTTTATGATTATTGGTTAAAGCACATGTTTGGCCGTCGCTATTAGGTCCTTGAAGTTTTGATATTTGGAACTGTAATATTTAATATAATTCCATGATTAATACAAAATACGAAAATAAGTATAAATAAGTTGTTACAGCTCTACTTCTTCAATTATATTCACAAAGATCTGAATTTTATTTTATTATAAGTGGTACCAAATTTCATCAATTTTCATAAAAAAATAACTAATATTTAATCACTCACAATTAATTATAATGTTTTTTTTTTTTTAGTAACATGAGCATTTAAAAAAATTTCTTGCTTTCATTCTTCTGTTTTACAAAAGATATTTCTAAAATTTAAATTCCTTACCTGTAATACTTGAATAGTTCGATCTCTATCTTCTACTTGGCCTTGTAAAAAGACAACCTGCCTACGTAAATCAGCCAATTCATCGACGATATTACTGCCACCAGTACCTGGAGATGTACTAACATCCGCGGTACTACTGTCGTTGCAGAAGAGACCATTCTAAAATTTGTAAAATTTGCATGTTACATCACCGCGTATTATATTAGTAACGCTATTCTCGATCGTCCACAATAGTAACGAAAGATACAGAGCAGATATTAAACATTTTTCAATAGAATATTGTTATAGATTACTAAAAAAGCTAATCAGAAGATTCAATAGTTTTTCCTCTGTATTTTTAAAGTTTCCAGATGAGACTGAGAGTAGAAGTGGACAGAATTATATTTTTCTAAATTTTAAATTAAAAAGACTAGTAATGAAATTCAGAAGTCTTTAAGTTCAATGAATTTTTTTTTAAGTCTTCTTCTCTTTTAAGTTTGAAGAATTGTTTTAGTTTATTGAATATTAGAATCAATACACTTTTAATTTCACTAATATCTGTATCTTTTATTTATGACTATTTTGAAACTATATTCGATTAATAATACCGTTTCATAAATAAAATTTCTCAAGAGATTTATATATATTAATAAGAATATTTACAGTTCTAAAAAATCTCAAATAAATATAAATAAATATTTATTTAAAATTAAACTAACCTTCATAGTATTATCGAATGGGTTGAGAGTTTCTGCCTGTAAACATAATGCAAAACGTATTGTACGCTTTCAACATTCAACATTTTATAATTATAAAACTGCAGTAAAAATAATAAATATGTACGTGGATAATATATAAAGAATATAAAATAATTATAACAATATGAATATACGAATATAAAAAAATTATAACAACAATGTAGGAAATATAAAAGAAACAAAAACATTAAAATAATGTGTGCAGTAAAAAAAACAACGTACCCTCGTCAAACTGTTCTCTTCTGACTTGAAGATAAAATCATGGTTGATGAGAGAATAATGAAAAAATGAAAAAATGCGTGTTAATATAAAAGCATACATATATATGCATAACTTAAATGAAAAAGTGTGTTTTATTAAGAAAAAACAAAACGACATAAACAAGTCGATTGCTTGAATATGCTTATTCAATATACCTCTTGAAGTACTCGTTTCAATTTCAGAAGCATCGTTTTTATTGAAACAATGTCTTGAAACATGTGTTGATAGGTATCACGATCAAGTCGGAGACTTCCTTCATCTCCAGAGTCAAAACTCGGTGACTGGATCTGAAATGAAATATTACAAAAGTTTATTACTTACTTATTTACATATACTTTTCATTTTTTGTTATTAACCATAAATAAAATTTGTTGTTAAACATATATATATATATATAAGATAGTAAATAGTGCTAAATTGTTACTAAAATTATATATATATATTGATGAATTATATTAATATGTAAATTTATATTATTATGTAAATTATTATAAAATAAAGACAATATTCTAACAAATAATTTTCTGCTTTAAATTTTCTATTTCAGATTAATTTTCTGAAAAAGGTTCTTTTTTTTATTTTACTTTTCCAATAAATTGAAAATATGCTGTGTGTATGTGATATATTACATTTGAAAAGGAATACATTACATAACGCACGAACAATTTAAAATTTAAAAAATTTAATTAAAAAAGTGACTTACATTTCTTGATATCCTTAAAGGACTGGAAAATTGACGAGTACGTGTACTATCTACGGAACGTGGTGAATCAGTCACGGATCTACTTCGCCATACCTTTGTCGTTTTATCACAATCGTTTCTGGAACAAGAATACATACATGAAAAGATTAAAATTTAATACCTACAGATTTTACAGACTTTTTTTATATAGTTTTATTCACGTTCAAATAAAATTAGTATTGCTTCTTCTGCGAAGAATTCGAAGCGTGCGTTGCTTTGTTATTCAGCAAATATAATATCTTATATCTTCCTTTTATAAAAAGTTAGGGAATATATTTTAATTGCCTAATTTAGAGTTGAAATTCCAAGTGAATAGGATATGATACGTTTGTTAAATAAATAATTAAATCGTATCGTTTGTTTATTGATTAGTAGTTGAATTTTAATGATATGGATGTAGGAAAAAGAACTCGAAGATTAAAGCCTTTTCTTTACAATATCCCTTAAAATTTGTTATAAGATTCTTTTTCACGAAGGAATAAGAATTTAAAGTATCGACAATTTTTCATTAAGTATACAAATATTTTTTTCTACAATAAATGATGTTATTAAACATACACTTAAGTATCGATACAGTATTGGCATAATATTTATATTTAAAGTAATGATAATCATGAAAATGTCTCAGTTAGTTATACTTATATGTGTAATATTATATGAAAAATAATATACATATATGTCAAATACAATTCTTTGTAATTTCTCTCCAATTAAAAAAATTATCGAACATTACTTTAAATTAAAAAAACAGTCGAAGGTTAAATACGATTCGGTTAAAGATAACTTAAGAAATGCAGCAGTAGATAAATACTAATTATTCTCTGCTAAAACAACTTTAACTAAATTATATTTAAAAATTTCCTAAAAATATATTAAACTATAATTAATCCCAACCAATTATCGTAATTAATCAACTGAAATGAAAACTTTCATATAAATAAACAACCAGTCACTGTTTCTATGCTACCTTCCGGTCTGACTCGTGAAACGTGATTTCACCGAAGAGGTGGCGATATTAATCGGATTGCTCGTGGTTTTTCGTTGCCTCGGTATCGGCGATCCCACTGTTGGCGTCGAAGACTCGGAAGACAAGCCAGAATCGCGACCATCTTCGCCGTTTCGACCCGAAGCGAGACCAGCTTCGTCTTCAACTTCCGCACTTCCACTCGCGAGGTCCGCTCGAAGTCTTCCGGTTAAGACCGTTCGCTTCTTCGCACCTCTCGACACTTCGGACGCCGACGAAGCCATTACATTGGACCAACCACTTTACACGATAGTTCAAACTCTTGTTTCCCATCGGTTTTCTTTTTTTACTTTTTTTTTTATTACTTTCAAGACGGTATTATGGGACGGATTATTATACAACACTTTGTGCAGACTTTAGAAAACTTAGCAAGCAAAAGTTGTGAAAATGATATTAAAAATTTTACACGAGCTAATAACTTTTCGTTATTTTGCTTTTTACTCGAGATACGAATGTTATCTTGAGTTTTTCTTTCTTTTCTTTTTTTTAAATATGATCATTTGACCTCGCAAGGATATTTTCAAGAAATTTTAGTAATTAAAATATCTCGGAAATTACCAATTTTTGGAGCCAAATTCGCTTAATTTTTTCGAATTCCGAGGCCAAATGTCCGTTCAAGGTAACATTCACATCTCGAGAAAAGTTCGAATATTGGAAATTTCTACGTATCTAATAACTCTTTTTTTGTCAGTAATTTAAATTAAAATACAAATGAAATTATTAGAATTAACGAATTTATTTGTAAAAACATACTTGACTATAGTGCTTGCTACCTACTGCCATTTAAATTGAGAATTCATTGAACTGACCTTTCACATGTAACCTTTGCCTGTGTTCTCAATTTTTATAGGTAAAATTTCGTGACTACAATTTATAATTGTAGGCCAACGTTTTTCTACATAAGTGTTGCGTGCAAATATCTACCTTTATCAAACATGCATACGATTAGCCTATATAGAGGTCATTGATTTTCAAAGAGTTACAACTTTGTGTAATATAAAACAGTAAACTGTAGAAGAGCAAAATACTATCACGATTGGGAAAAATCTATAATCTAAAATATAATCAAAAAATAATTTTAAGTAATAATTTAAAAAATCTATTGATTTCTGTATTATCTATGAAAATTCTTTTTTTTTTTTTAAATGAGAGTCAAACAGATAGATACTAGCTCAATATAATAACTAACATATCCATTGTTAGTTATTATAAATTCGTTAACAAACAATAACATTATAACACATAAAAACTACAGATATATAATATATGAAATTGTAAAACTGAAATAATAAAATGATAGACATTCTGGCTTTTTGGTTATTTTATTTTTTGATTGAAAGTTTTGAAAGTTCATATGTTGCACGCTATACACATTTAAAAAAAGTTGCAAAAATATTTGTCGAGAGTATTTTGAAGCTATGAATAAAAGAATATGTCAATAATTGTTCATTCGTTTTTTCATTCTGAAAATATTTCGCTCGAGTACCATTCTGAAGTTATAAATGAAAGAACATGTCAATAATTATAGAGACACGTCTCTCGAATATTGGATGAAATTAAATAGCTCAACATTTTATTGAGATTGGACCAATTTATAGATTCTAAGAACCAGCAATTTTTTGTAATACTAATCTATCAATCAATTGAGAAATAAAACGACGTTTAAAAATAAATAAAGATTTTAAAAACGCGTGCTTTACGTAAAATCGATCAAACTTTTACAGCCGTTTAATACAATATAATCCAAGTGTTTCTCTAGAAGAGAAAAAGGTTCGTTATAAATAGATACATTCTTTAAACATTCTTAAATGAAAATATTGTATTACTCTATACTTAATGAACGTGCTACCGTTGACAAATAAAATGAACTTTGTTAATTAAGAATAGTTACTCGTCCATCGGGATTTTTCAAGAGGTCTGCGCGCTTAACGGCTCTATAGATTGCAATGAATGAGAAAGTGAGTGTCTTTCGAACGAATTCCACGTTCTACGAACCTAACACCTTTGCAGACCGTATTCCCGCACATGTCTATGCTTTAATTAAAACGCGACTATTATCTCATACTCAGACGTGTACGAGAGAGAACCTTTTTCATTTCCGGACGTTGAAGAAATTTCACAAATATGAAGTTTCCTGACGGTGCTACGTTTTCATTGATTCTTGTTAGCTTTTAGAATTTCATGGAGAACTTTGATTCTTTTTGAAAATCATTCTTCGCAACATTTCATGAAAAGAATTAAAAATGAAAAGGATAGTAATGGTGGTATTAATATTGGAAGAATATTTTCAATACTGTAAAATGAACAGATATAAACCTATTAATGGCCAATGTTATGCAACAAATCATTTGTAATTAATTTATATTTTTAAACATTGTATGAAATGAATTTATTTAATACTTCTTTTATAAATATATTTTACAATACACGTTTTATATAAACTTTTATGTGAGTTTTTCTTTATTTTTTCTTTAGTTTTCGCATAATATTACATTTTTGCAACTTTTACGCATTATTTCAATACTTGAACTTGAACAGATTGATAAACATTATAATATGTAATATATTTGTGAAATATAATTAATTTCATAATTTTCTGATTATCCGCTATGTTTCAAAATATTATCGCGAAAGAATAATTTTGAATTATTCATTTAAGAAATCTCGATTAAAAGGTGGACAATAGGTTTGAAGAGTCTTATAACTTTCTGCCATCGGAGTCTCTTCTGGTTCGTCCTTGGTTACTGTTTGCTACGTAAATACACTGACGTTATTAACGCTAATTTTAAATTCTTTTTCTTCGTCTTTAATCAATGGCTAAGCAACTTCTGTATCTTTTGCGATGCATTTAATGGCGAATAATTTGAATCAACAAATTTAACAACTTTACTATTATTTCAATTGGTTCATTATTGTTATAGCTAATTTGAAAAATGTTACCTCAATTGTTACTTTATGAATTTATAATTGTTATTTATACTTGAATGATATTTTTCCCGTATTATGAAATTTTTTTTAATTATTCACTAAATTATTAAGTACTAATTTATTATTAATAATCGATTCTAAAAAAAATAATTAATTGTTAATTTGAATACTAATCTATAATCATATTTGAATAATATATTAAGCTATAATCATTTAAATATCTGCTATTGGTTACAGTTGATATTTCTTTTAATCTGTTCCACTTAATACATAAACAATAAATATATGTAACATAATATACAAACAATTCACATCTAGATTAATTGTACTACTTCACGTGCATAAAATATACAATTGACAATCCTTTTTAATTCAATCCATAAACTTCACCCTTTTTAGAAGATTACGATACAACAATTGATTATTTATTGTTCCAAAGTTCGAGAAAATCAGAAATATTACAATATATATTGTATCTATATACAACATACCTTCGGCAGTCCTTGATTATTTCAAATAAAAAACGAGCTTATCAAAAAGAAAACAAAGAAAACTACAGAAAATCATTACTCGCGTTTACCGTGTATAACATATATATACCAGAAAACAAATAATCAACGTTATTTCATCAAGTTACGGGGAGAGTTCCTCACGTTTACTAGTATCTATCTGTTGAACAAAAGCCGGTCGCGCCAGCGAATGTAGAGCACAGATCGAAACAAAAAGGAGGGTGAGAGCGGGGGTTGGTTGATAGGAAAGGGTAGATCCATCACAAGTTATATATCGGTGTCACGAAGGAGGCTGTCAAACCGAGCGCGAAACATGGATCCGCGGCACGAACGCACGGCCCCGTCACAGATTCAAATAATTCATTAAATCCCCACTGTCGTTTGCGCAATGCGGCGCCCCCGGTGTGCATTGTTTCACACCGATGACATTCGAGATCGCCATTTGGCGGGAAATCGGCGGAGAACGTGTACGTGGGAGAACAAGCACGTGACCGTACGAAAATTTGTTCGTGGTGTATATAAAGTTTTCTGTCACTGCGAGGATCGCCACGTTAACCGTCGCGTCGCTCAGCGATCTCTGGAATGAGCCTCTTGCTAGCCGGCACAGCATCGCGACTC